GTCCTGTTGTCTTTGCGCAATGACAACAGGACTATAGGTCTTCAAGATCCGGCCAAAGTTGGCATGTTGGTAGATACAGCCTAAATCTATTGTTAGCCTTTCCTTTGAAAGCTCGCTGGAAACAACTTACGTTCGCGCGCATACAAGCTCACCACGCATGACAGGTACCAAGTATCATGCGCGGCGAAGCTTGGAGAGTCGCCAGCACCACCAAGAAGACCACGATCTGCCTAACAACAACATAGGCACCTATAACCATTCTCAGACATAGCAATGTAGCTAGTATGCTATGTCTGATAACAGTTAGAGGTGCCAATGTCGTTGTTTGGCAGATTGTGGTCTTCCTGGTGGTGCTGACATGTGTGATTTATTAGAGGGACACCAGGTCTCGAAAGCACAAAAGTGAATTTGATGAAGAAAGGAGAGAGGGGAAACAGAGAGCGAAGGAGCAAGCACTGGGTATTTATGCTGATCAATGGCGAGTTTACAGATCAGCCCTGGATGGCCTCTCATTGGCAGGTTTGGAGGCCTTTGCAGATGCTCGTGAGGGGCAACGTCATATGATGGTCGGCCTCCCAGGCTAACATGTCTTCAAATCTCTCAGTTTGTGACATATGAAGAAACGGAGAAAGGGAACAGATAGAACTAGAGTCTGAGAACTATCTGATACTCTATTCCTTCAATGACATATTCTTGACCACCCAAAGCTTGATGGACCCCATATAGGACATGCAATCAGCCTAGGCCATATCGTTTGTAGACCGAATTGATCTTGTTTCGCCGCTAGGCTTGTACTTATTTTGTTCTATGTTGATGTTGTTGTTTTAGTCTCCGCTTTTGGCCTCGACTTTACCTTTCCCCTAGCGAGTTCTCGTCCTGACTTCTGATTCTGACCAGTTGAGTCAAGAGAACGAGGCTTCTTGCTCTTCGTAGCAGTTGTGAACCCTCTTGGAGCTTTAGATCACCAGCTTTGACACTCTTAGGTACTTCTCCAGTGGAATAGTCCTCGATTTGCTAAAGAAAGACTAACACGCCGGGCAATACTATGTAGCACAGCGATCTAGAGGAAATAACAGGGGCTCCAGGAACGAACGTGGATGCGCGTCTTGCGAGCTTTGTAGAGTGTGAGTTTTGGAGTAGCTCTTGGTGTTTCCCAGTCACTTAATCACAATATTGAACTACGCATTGATCCATTCCCAAAGACATGCCTCGGTGATACATGAGCAGGTAGTTGTCAAAAAGAACATTGCCGTAAGCCACCGAGACAACAAGTTGGTCATAAATCCTGGACTGAGTGAACTTTAACAAAAATAGCGTTATTTAAAACAAGATCAGGCGCGTAAAGAAAGAATATATACGCATACTATAACCCACAGGACTTTCCTACCATCTCGACCCAATAACACTTTGCTCCGCTGCCTGCCTGCCTGCAATGCTCTTATGCCAAGTAACGATGTTTATAAGGCTCTGCGAGGACACCTTCCGAAAGTTCTTCTATCTCATAGTATTCCCTCTGGACCTTTTCCCAATCAAGCAGATCAGTGGTAACGTCAAGCATGTCAGCGTCGAAGTCCATACCAAGATTCGTCAAATCATTTAAAGCTGTGATTCTGAATGCTTCAGAATCGTTATAGATCGCTTCATAGTCCCAAGGCTGGTCAACGGTGAAGTCGCACTGGATTATGGCGCTTCTCTCGCTCACTGGAACTATTCCTTGGGCTGACGCTCTGCTAGGAAACGGATATTCATGGTGGTTGGCCGGGGCGATTAGAGCGTGGGCAATGCAATCCGTATGAACCGTGAGCCAGGCGATGTAAGGCTTCATGGATACAGAAAAGATCTCTGTTGCATGATTCGGATCAGGGTGGCCACCAATGATAAGGGAGTATGAGTCTGAAGGCAGCCCTTCCTTTAAAGTCTCTAGGAGGTGCATAATAAAGCCGGTGAAGGCTCCACCGATAGCTTCAGGATAGGTTTGGTGTTGTTCCGGAGTATCCTCCAAAACTAGAGGGGGGCCTTCGATATAGTACATAAGCGTCCGGATTCTGTAGTCTTCGGCTCTGGCAAGGATATTTCGCCAAAGGTTCATATGATGTTCAACATGGAGCTTCGGATTTTCTAGGCAAAAAGGAATCATGCCTATCATATGAGACTCAGGAAAGGCAGCTGCAGGTCGATCTTCGTTAAGGATTAGCTTAGATATCAAAAGGCGCTGTTGCTGAGAAAGTTGCCCGAGGAATCTGATTGCTTGAGCGGCAGCCGAGAACCAATACTTTCGTTTGTAACGATATTTTGGGCCATTGTAGCCGGGCATATCAAAGCCTAGATGGTACCATGCATCCCCATTCTGCCAATACCTGGTGTTTTGCATTAGATCTACCATTTCCTTGACTTCAGCTCGAGTCGGCATAGCCCATGAATCGAATCCTAGGCTGAAGAAGTCGTCAATTGAATGCGAATCATTCCAACCAGGCAAGATCTCTTCGATAGCCTGGGAGAATTCTATGGGGTGTTTGTCTGCAAGTTGTCGCAATAGGTAGGTCCTCGTGCGTTTCAATGCCACAGTGTTGTCGTTACCTTGTAATCTTATTGAGGCGGCCCCAACTCTGGATCCAGCACCATCTCTAAATGCCTTAGCGTCAACAAAGCCGCGTGCGTTTCTAACTTCAGTAGAAAGCTCAGTTCGTCGGTCCCAAATCCTGAGGAACTCTGCTACTTCTTCCACCACGATAGGCATGTATTGAGAATATTCCGGGCTGGGCTCCTCGTACATATCAGGCGTCAGAAGTCGACCCAGACGAAGTACCATTCCCCGCAGGAGGTAAATATGGTAATGAGCAATCTGATTAAGCTCAAGGGCCTGTTTCCTCCAATCTGGTCTGTAGATCGTCGAGAAGGTGATGGTGTTGAGGGTGAAAGGGAGATGCCGCGTCTCGGAGGCGATGGAGCGACATGCTAACATCAGCGATATCTGAACAGCCTGGCCACTGGCCTGGAGCAGCTTGTCGCCATCTGAAACGTAGCCGCCATCTGCCTTGAAGTAGTAGTAATAGATTTGGTCGCGCAGCTCCAGGGGAAGCCTGCCCTTTGCGCAACGGGAGAGGCCACAATAGACATTGTGGGGGAAAGGCCTGTGACAATCTGGGGAAACAATGACAAGGATGATCTGTTGCAGATGTGAGGGATGAATTTGGGGTAGAGCTTTTATGAACGATGGCTACACTGGAAAGATGACTCACAAAGCGACAACCACAAAACTTTACTGGCAGTACATAAAAACTCAAAACAGATGGAAGACAGGTAATAGGCTAGATTATCATGTTTATGCATCATCTATCAGGTCTATCAACTCAAAATACCCCTCTCAAGAATATACTTCAGGCAGCACTCGGTGACTCAGGGGGTGGGGTGAATGGTGGCTGCGCTGTGCTATACTGCTGCAGTGCTGAGTGACTGGACAATTGGGAAGAGCAAGAAAGCTCGACATACTAGGAGAGGTTGAACTGGCTGGATGTGGCTGCGTGATCACTAAATCTTGAGAGCTTCAAGTTGAAGAAAGCCGGAGCCATTAGATGTTCTTGGCTTGCGTTTTACCGCACCAGGAAGAAGCAGCTCAATAACTGGGCCAACAGTTCATGTTCAATTGAACCGGGTCTTCTGGCTCAGCTGTCGTTTCTCCGCTTGCGTAGTAATACCCTCGGCAGTGGTATTATTGTTGAAGCCTCTGGAGCTTTAGCATTGCGTTGTGCAACTGAGTCATAAGAAGCTTTTGACCTTTGTATTCGGCAGTCCAACTCGACAAAGAGAGGAAGAAACAGACCACATGTCTCAGTTTCCTTGTTGGGCGAGGTTTCTGTATTGCGTACAGCTCTTTAGGTCAAAGCAGACAGTTTCGCTGCCCGAGCAAATTTGTTGATAGTTGATAGTCTGTCCCGTAGCATACGAGACCTGTATAGAGTCATGGCTGGAAGAAAAGACTTCACTAACGTGTCCCTAAATGAACATTGGTGACGGAGTAGCTCTGGGATATAAGATGCCAGAGGATCATGCTTCGTATGTCTTATGTTTGGAATCGACTTCGACGCCCATAGCATGGCGCTTCGCCACTTGGTTCGAACATTAATCATGTCCTAGTTATTACTGATTTAGTCTGGATCATCGTAATGCTCAAACATAGTTACTCTGGATAATGGATAGAATACTATCATATAGTAGAGATCATCGGTCGTGAAATTCTATGGGTTAATGCCGCCATAACGGACGTGTTTGCAGTTCGGAGAATTGTACAACAGCCGTGAAGAGAATTGACAAGGTCAATTCTCTGTCTCCTTTCAGTGGAAAGAGATCTTCTGCTAAGATAAGGGCAATACTTGCGATCAGCGATTATGTTGGATGGCTTGCCCGCATAGAATAATGTTACAGTTCCGAGGCTGGAGCTCAGAACAGGTTCATGCGGGCCATGGTGTTTGTCGACGCCCTAAGACTGCTTTGCACTTTTAATTGTGACCCTCTCCATCTATTAGCCAGATTGTAGTTGTGTCAGTTTATAGCTGTGTTTGACTGGTACGAGCAGTGTGTTGGGCGGCTGGATTAGCTTCCCTTCATCAACCAGGATTGTAAAGCCCCCATGGGTACCTCCCGTGTCTCCAGCTCCTTCAGAGACAGGCACTATGGCTTAGTTGAGTTATGAGCTGGCCTGAATATATCTAGGCTATTGTGAGGCTTGTCGTGATGGATGAGGCGCTGAATCTGGGTTTGTTTCAGAGAGACGTTTGAATCACCATCTGAATCGACGTCTACACCTTCGTCCTCCACATATGCTTGAATGGGTCGCTTTGCGCATTGGATGCAAAGCAGTTAGAAAGCACAGCTGCTCTGCTTTCCTGATGAGAGCTACGTATAGAATTGAGTGCTTGAGAAAGTAAGCTTGGTCTATGCCTGGACTCGACGCCGACGCTGCCACCCTATCGCGGCGCACACCTCTGGGCGATCTCAACATAAGGGCAATGGAAGCACGTCCTTATGTTGATCTTCTTCGGTACGACTTTTTAACTTCTTCCCGGTTGCGAAAACAATACCACGACTTGGATAACACTGTAAGTCCAATCCCGCTCAGCGTCCCCGGCGTCAATATTGATCGGATTCTGCGCCATCTATTTAACTTTATGTCCTGTCTCTTTCGCAAATGCATCGGCGAGTGTACGATGGACAGCTTTATAGAAAGGCTGGTCCGGAATCGCTGAGAGTTTGGCCGGTCGGAATGGCTTGCTGTTGGCATCGAGATTGAGGACTGAGTGAAGGGGCTCGGGTGCTGTTGCTAAAGAAAAGTCTCTGTGGAGAGGCGGGCTGATATGACGTGAGCCAACTCGGCCTGTGTAAGTCCTGGCTGCCATCGCTTTTGCTACTGAGGTTACTGAGTGCTTCACGCTTTGCGGTTCAGATCCCTAAGGGGTCGCGGTGGACCAAGTTGTTGTGACTGGCAGTGAGAGGTGTGCCATGTCGAAGTAGACGGCAATGATCATCGGACAGTTCTCGATAGGGACATGAGTTACTACGATAAATGGGCCTGCACAATTGTACCATCTGTAGAGGGGAACCAATCACCACCAGGTAGAAGCGAAACTTCATGTGCTGGATAGGATCCGTCAGTGAACTTCCTGGGGCGAAGAAGCAGATAGTCTTTTGACTGTCGCGGGTTTGTAACGCACAGCTTCGACACTCCCTAGGCCTAGACTGGAAGCTATTGAGAGAAATGCCGTTTCTCTTGTGCATCTGGGCCTTCGCCTCAAGCCACTCGAGTAGTACTGGTAGGGGCATCGTTTTGCTTGTATCTGTAGACATGCCATGGCACTGGTCACCTCAGGCTAGTATCAATCTGAGAAGAACAACAAGTTGCCTTGACTGGCTTAGTTATCACTCCTGTCCAGGGGTGTAGGGTTCATCTTCCCCTTGTTCCCCAAACCGTCTGCCGCGTGGATGCATATTACACCATCGCGACGCGCAGGCCTAGCTCGCCCTGAGGAGAACCATATGAGAGAATATCCGTTGGCTCTCTTGTGGTGCGAAATTGACTGCGGCGAGAACTACTAGCCAACCGATTGGACTCTGCGACACCTTTTGTGCTCATGATACCCTCTGATGTTTTGGCTATTGCAAGCATGATATTGGTGATCATTGATGCTCTGGAGAACATGTCGTGCCGTTTCGGGGAATTGGTAGAGTTGCTAACTTCGAGTTCAACTGAGTAACGATTCGAGACGTTGAATGGGAGGGCGGGTATGAGCCTAGGTGACTCCCGCCACGTAGCGATCGATGCTGCATGGGAAGAGCCTCCAGTCTTCCACGAGGCAATGAGCCGTCTCTGATGTCGAGCCCGAGGCAGACTACTTAAGGCAATATGGTAAATAAGATAACGAAAATAAGGGACAAGAACTCTAAGGGGGTTTCCGAGCACTACCCACAGCCGAAGAGGAGTAGTCCTTATATGTGTTCATGATGTAACCTCTACCACAGAAATATGATATATTCATAAATCTTATAGAAACGGGTGTCCACCACATCAGATAGACCATGTTCTTTTCACAAGACTGTTCGAAGTCGTGAACTGCTGGTGGATCCCTTCAGCTAAGGATACAAACCACACCAGACATGGCCACTGGTGATCTGTAGCTCTACAGACAATGATCGGGATTCTTTGGGGGTCCTCGGTTGCACAACTCTACTGCTTCTTCCACTTTACAGACTGCGATCGTCTCACGATCGTTTGGTCGGAATTGATGGGTCGGGTTGAGCCCTGTGACTCCCAACCCGAATCAGAGTCATGCCTCCTCCTTGAAATAGGTTCTGGCAGATGATGTTGCCCTCTTGACTGTGAGTGTCCCTTGCGGGCTGGATAGGGATCTATTGACGACATTGAGGCTTGACTGACGACACGCCGGCTGCTGCTGCTGCTTCTGGAATATGCTATATTGTTGCCTTTCTCGCCTGTGGCCACCAAATCCTTGCCCTTTTTAGGTTTATCTCATCCCCTTTGTCGTCTCCTTCATCTTCATGTCGTATCTTAGATTTTCGAACGTCATTATCAATTGTTCGTCTCGCTTCAGCGTTTCATATTCCTCCTTGTATATATATAATCAGAGCCGTGCGATTGCAGGTCCCCGTATTCATGCCTTTCGCGAGAAAATAAGGATTGATTCGCCGTCTCTCGTTGGTCGACGCGTACCAAGGCCTACGTACTCGTCCTCATCGTCGTGCATGCGTTTAGAAGAGAGTTATTCGAAGCGCAACGATCTTATTGCCCGGGCCCAGGACATGAATGTGGTGGTGGGGTGGTTGCCTTTATAAGAAGCTGCAAAGATCCGGTTATGAAGGTTGACCGGTACGCGTCGCCACCTGATGTCCTTGAGCTTTTCTAGCTGTCCCCATTACAAACTCTAGAGATTTCATCCCGGAGCACATGGGACAGCCACGTTCACAGATCTGAAGCGAAAATGACTCTAGTCCTGTAGGGATAAGCGTCTCGTTTTGTCTGCTGGCATTGATCGGAAATCAACGATTGGTGGCGAAATTCCGGTCGAAAGACTCCATGGAACACTTAGACAATACCGCGGAAGACAATTCCCTAGTCCACTGAGTCCTAGTCATGTTAAGCCATGATATGTTACCGTAGACTCACAGGCGTTTCAGGTGCCCTGCCCTTTCCGGAGGGTGCCTTATGCTAGTAAGGCTCGCGCTCGAGTAATGTCTGAGTGGGCTGGGCCGTGCCTTATCAAGCAAATATGTGGGACAGAAGAACATGGTTGAATGTCGTGAATGGTGAGCTGGCGCTCGATTCGCAAGTAGCAGGTCGGTGTTTGAGGTAGAAATGTCATTTGCCTGTGGTAAATGAAATGTCGAAAACGCAAAACGGTCAATTTCTCGTCTTGGGTGCAGCGTTTGGCTTTCTCCATGGTTTGGAAACTCAGGTCCCGCTGCTTGGGAAAACTCCTAGGCGATCTCGTCAAGCATGGATAGTCTGGATATGAAACTCCTCTCTTTTGGGCTTATACCTATACAGATCCTCTTCTCAAGCCTTATGCGTAATTTCATTGGCCTTGTCCTTTATTGAGATGGCTTAC